AGCAACCACATGGTGGCTCATAGTCATCTATAATGAGACCTGATGCCCCCTTCTGGCATGCAAGCATACATAGAAGGAATGTTGTATACATAATAAATAAATAAATAAATCTTTAAAAAAAAAGGGAAAAAATACCTTTGGGAAACAAGAACACAAGAATTATGGTTGAAGATATTCATTTCCAGAGCTGAAGAGATGTGGTGTGAGGTGGGCAAGTGAGAAAGTAGGACCAGTCAGGTGGCGGTGGCACATACCTTTAGTCCCAGCACTCAGGAGGCAGAGGCAGGTGGATCTCAGTGAGTTGGAGGCCAGCCTGGTCTACAAAGTGAGTTCCAGGACAGGCAGGACAGTTACGCAGAGAAACTCTGTTTTGAAAAACAAAACAAAACAAAAACAATAAATCAAACAACAAACAAAAAAGAAAAGAAAAAGTAGAATCATGGCCTTAGCCTTGAATTTGTCCTGGGTTGGAAGAAGGGTTATCTTCATGAAGCCTTTAGATGGCACTGGTTTACAAAGAGGATCCATGGGTGCTGGTGGCTTTCCAGGGTACTTGGCAACTAGGGCTGAATAGTTAGTTTTTTATTTTATGGTGGTGGGGGTGGTTTTACCGCTTGTGTGACTTGCTGCAGCCTTAAGTGGGACCTCAGGCAGTCAGGTCTGGAGGTCAGCCTGTCACAGGGGGAGGGTTTGGAGTGGATCACGACACTAGTCCCCATGGTCACCATTTGGGCTAGTCATGCCAGAACCCCCTGCAGCATGTCAGAAGTGTTTTGGAAGACTGTCTTTCTTGGTCTTCACTCTGTTCCTTTGTAGGAACAGGACCCCACTGTGTATAGAGTTACAGATTCGGAGGTTTAATCTTTGTTACTGTTTTCTCTGAATCTTACTTACTCACAAAATGAGAGATTACACAGACTCCAGAGTTCCCTGGAGATACCACAGGACTAGAAAGAAATGCTAGGAACTGTGGGAAAGAGAATGTCCTGCTTGTCTCAGTGTGCAGAGTTCCCTGGAGATACCACAGGACTAGAGAGGAATGATGCTAGGAACTGAAGGAAACAGAATGTCCTGCCTGCCTCAGTGTGCAGATCTAGTCATAAGTGTCATGTATCATATTCGAAGAAAGATACTGGTTTAAGAAAGAGGTAGTAGTAGGTAGGCCTGGAGAGATGGTTCAGGGGTTAAGAGCACCAACCTCCCAGCACGGTGGCTCGTAACTGTCTGTCACTTTAGTTCAAGGGGATCCAATGTCCTCTTCTGGCCTAAACAGGCACCAGAACACAAGTCATGCGTCGACATACATGCAGGCAACACACACAGATATGAAATAAAAAGTCAGGTGTGCTATAGCACACCTTTAATCCCAACACTTGGGAGCAAGAAGCAGGTGGATCTCTGTGAGTTTGAGGTCAATCTGGTCCAAATAGTGAGTTCCAGGACAGCCAGGGATATATACCAAAACTCTGTTTCAAAAACAAAACCAAGCCGGGCGGTGGTGGCGCACGCCTTTAATCCCAGCACTCGGGAGGCAGAGGCAGGCGGATCTGTGTGAGTTCGAGACCAGCCTGGTCTACAAGAGCTAGTTCCAGGACAGGCTCCAAAACTACAGAGAAACCCTGTCTCGAAAAACCAAAAAAAAAAAAAACAAAACAAAACCAAGGGGGCTGGAGAGATGGCTCAGAGGTTAAGAGCGTTGCCTGCTCTTCCAAAGGTCCTGAGTTCAATTCCCAGCAACCACATGGTGGCTCACAACCATCTGTAATGAGGTCCGGTGCCCTCTTCTGGCCTTCAGACATACACACAGAATATTGTATACATAATAAATAAATAAATATTTAAAAAAAAAAAAACCAAAACCAAGCTGGGCGGTGGTGGTGCACGCCTTTAATCCCAGCACTCGGGAGGCAGAGGCAGGCGGATCTCTGTGAGTTCGAGACCAGCCTGGTCTACAAGAGCTAGTTCCAGGACAGGCTCCAAAACCACAGAGAAACCCTGTCTCGAAAAACCAAAAAAAAAAAAAAAAAAAAACCCAAAATTTTGACTATTCTTGCTTCTGCCCTCCCTGTTCTCCCTTTCACCACATCAAGACTGCCTCCTCTGTATAATTTTTAATTTTAAATGTATTTTATGTGTTTAGTATGCATGTATGTCTGAGCACCACCAGGTGTACGTAGTGCCTGCCCTCAGAGACCAGAAGAGGGTATCAGATACCCTGAGATTGGAGATGGTTTTTCTAGATGGTTGTGAGGTGGATGCTAGAATCAATCTCAGGTCCTCTGGAGGAGCGTGTGTGTGTGTGTGTGTGTGTGTGTGTGTGTGTGTGTATTATCATGCATGTCATGGTGTGCTTGTGGGAAATTCAGAGGACACCTTGTGGTAATTGATTCTCTTCTTCTACCATGTGGGTTCCAGTAACCAGACTCAGCTTACCAGGTTTACAGGCAAACATCTTTACTAACTGAGCCATCTCATTGTGCTGAGAACTATTTACAGAGTTATATATTTAAGATGGCCATCACAGGGGCTGGATAGATGACTCAGTGGTTAAGAGCACTGACTGCTCTTCCAGAGGTCGTGAGTTCAATTCCCAGCAACCACATGGTGGCTCACAACCATCTGTAATGAGATCTGGCGCCCTCTTCTGGCATGTGGGCATGCATGCAAGCAGAATGTTGTATACATAATAAATATGTTGTATACATAATACAACATATTTGTATACATACAAATAATGTTGTATACATAATAAATTATGTATACAACAGAATGTTGTATACATAATAAATAAATAAAAATAAATCTTTGGGGCTGGAGAGATGGCTCAGAGGTTAAGAACACTGCCTGATGTTCCAGAGGTCCTGAGTTCAATTCCCAGCAACCACATGGTGGCTCACAACCATCTGTAATGAGATCTGGTGCCCTCTTCTGGCCTGCAAGTATACATGCAAGCAGAACACTGTATATGTAATAAATAAACATATTAAAAAAAAAAAAGATGGCCATCACAGCTCACACCTTTAATCCTAGCACTGGGGAGGCAGAGACTGGTGGGTCTCTATGAGTTCAAGGCCAGTCATGACTATATAGCAAACCGTTATCTCAGCGACCACAACCAAAAACAAACAAAAGAGTTACGTTGTTGGAAACAAATTTGACAACCTCCGAGTTAAATGCCCTCCTGGAAGAATCCTTTGACTCTGCTGATTGATAGAGAGCAAGGCATTCCTTCCCATCTCAGTTGGCCCCACACTGCCAGCTTTGTATTCCTTAGAGTCTCTCCTTAGAGCACCCCCCAAGCCTTCTACAAACATGGAGTCTGAGATGTGGCCTAGTCCACCATTCCTCATTGGTGATTTCTCTTGGGGAGACTCTTTACTCTAGATAGGAAGGGCACCAAAAGACAAAAGAAAGGAGTCCTTCTAGTGGGTTTATTGAAGTACAGGTGACTCAAAGGCACTCTCTCACTTGAGGGTGGAAGAAAGAGGGTCGGGAAGCCGGTCTGTGGTGGCACACGCCTTTTTTTTTTTTGTTTGTTTGTTTGTTTTTCGAGACAGGGTTTCTCTGTAGCTTTGGAGCCTGTCCTGGCACTAGCTCTTCTAGACCAGGCTGGTCTCGAACTCAGAGAGATCTGCCTGCCTCTGCCTCCTGAGTGCTGGGATTAAAGGCGTGTGCCAGGCCTGGTCAAGACCAGCCTGGTCTACAGAGCTAGTTCCAGGACAGACTCCAAAGCCACAGAGAAACCCTGTCTCGAAAAACCAAAAATAAATAAATAAATAAAATAAAATAAGGGGCTGGAGAGATGGCTCAGTGGTTAAGAGCACTGACTGCTCTTCCAGAGGTCCTGAGTTCAATTCCCAGCAACCACATGGTGGCTCACAACCATCTGTAATGAGATCTGGTGCCCTCTTCTGGCACACAAGCATACATGGACAGAATGTTGTATATATAATAAATAAATAAATCTTAAAAAAATATATATATATATAAAAAATAAAAAAATATAAAATAAAATAAAAAAGAGGGTCAGGAATTTAAGGTCATCTTTAGTTACAGAGTGAGTTCTGAGGCCACCCTTGGGCTACATGAGACCTTATCTACATCTCAGTCTCCCCCAGCAAAACCTCTCCACTGGCAAAGCTCTGCTGGGAGTTACCATCTAGAAGTTTCTTTCTCTTTGGGTCTTTCTGCCTCCCTCTCTAAACTGCTAGAATTATGAGATTAAAGTGTGTGACACACTCCTGGCAGCCCTTACTGTTTTTGAGATAGGTTATACTATGTAGCCTAGGCTGGTTAGAACTTATAGTTCTGCCTGCCTCCGCCTCCCAAGTGCCAGAACTAAAGGCATAATTCACTTAAGTTCATAGTATTCCTTCAATGAGGTTTTCTGAAAGTAGATCCTTGTAGTTGCTTGTGTGGGGGAGGCTGTATGTGATAATTAGCGTGGGCATGCACACACACGCATGTGCAGACCTGAGGTCCACGGATGTTTTCCATGTTTGCACTTCACAGGTTTTCTCCTTGAGGTTGAGGCTCACCGATTTAGTTAGACAGGTTAGATAAAGAACTTCAGGGATCTGCCTGTATCAGTCCTCTCCTAGAGCAGGGGATAATGCTTGCTTTTTAAGTAGGTATCCAAATTAAGGCCCTTCTTGAACATGCAGGCACCTTATCGACTGTATCACGTGTTCAGTTCCACAGTCACTTTCTTATCTCCCAGTTTTACTTTTTCATAATATTTAGCAGTGTCTGAAATAATCTTCATTTTGTGTACACATTTATAGTGCACCTACTACGTTCCAGGCACCGTGTGTATTGACCGTCGGATTGGAGCCTACATAAGGCAAGGTCTTTAATTGTCCAGGTCATTTGGGTCTACACAGGACTCCCCAGCACTGGGACCCGCACACAGTAGGCATTTCTTCTCTGTTCCGCGCTCTGCCCGGCCCGCCCCTCCCCCGTTCCAGGAAGTGAGGGGGTTCTAGCCGCCTGGCCTACCGCGATGCATTTTGGGAAAGCAGCAGCACCAGATCCAAGATGGCGGCCAGCAGGAGGCTGATGAAGGTAAAAGCCATTCTCTGGCGCTGGCCAGGCGGGGGGGCGTCGTCCCCGGGCCGGGACCCCCACGGCGGGCCGCGGCTCCTTGGGGCGTCGCCACCCTCCATCCCTCGTTGCGTGGCCCCGCAGTGCCGCTGTGCCGCGTGTGGAGGAGAGATGTAACGGGGCCGCCTAGGCCTCAGCCTGGGCGGGAGCGCAAGGCCGCGCCGGGAGCCGTCGCCGCCGCCGGCCTCTCGGATCAGCTTGGGCAGTTCTCGCGCCCCCTCCTCCCGGAGCGGAGCCGGGCCCTCCGTCGCAGCGGCCGCGGTCCGGGTCGAGGACGCCGTTGATGTGTGGGCCGGGCCTGGTGGCCCCAAGCTGGGCGTCCTCGGGGAAGAAAGCCGGAGCCCCGGCTGGGAGTCCGCGCCGCGGAGCCGCCCGGTCCTGGGCCGCGGTCGCCAGACTCTGAGCCCCATTCCGCCAGCCCACAGGTCCGGGACCGGGAGGCTTCGAGGCCCGAGACGGGAAAGGAAAGAGGAGGGCAGGCGGCCAAAGTTAGGTCAGTTAGTTGGTGGTCTTTTGAAATTGTGTTGGGTCCTCGCAAACTATCGCCTTGTGACTGCAGAGTCACACAGCGGACAAGTTCCAACTCTAGGAAGGCTCGGGGTCGGCCCCCGTCGCAGCTAGGTTCTCCTTCCAATCCACCTCTTAGTCATCCTCACCTCCTTTCCCTGATGAAGCAAAGTGACATTTTTGACGTGGGGGTGGGGGTTGGCTTCTTTGGTTCGAATCAAAACCGGCCAAAGTTTACAAAAATAACTTGGAGTACGCACTTTGTATCTTGAATTGTAGCGGACTGTCATCTCACTAAGTGGTTCCTTTGGTGAAGCACCCAGGTTCTCGGTTGATTTCTGTTTTTCACTGGTCCATTTGCCGACATCCTTTAAAGACAACCCCGCCGGTGTTTGAGTGCTACCAGGTAGTGCGGCGGAGCTACCGCCTGACCGGAAATACAAAAGGCCCGTGGAGCTGGCTCCTGAGAACAGATAGCTGGGCCTCCTCCTTGCCTGCGTTGTACGTGGTTGCTGAAGACGCTGGAAACAAAAGAAAACCTAGAGGGAACATTGAACTAAAAGTAGAGTGGCAGTGGGCACGAAACTGCGATGATAGAGCCCCCTCTCTGCTCTGCCACTGATACCCATCATTTTCCTAAGAGAAAGGAGAGCTAATCGCTTCCGTGTTCAAGTCCCCCAAAGTTGCCGTCCCTCTAGTCTTATAGGTTTCAGTTTAGGAAGATGAGTGAATACATGCTGTTTCTCCTGATTTTATTGAAATTACTTTAATTCATCCACCCCCTCTCAGGTACCTTTTTAAATAACTTTTCTCTAACTACCCTTCATGAGCTCCAGAGTTCCTTTTTCTAAAGCAAGCATTTAATTTTTTTTATTCTGGTTAAAGTCCTCTATGGTCTTATCTGTAATGACTCTAACTTCTTTAAATTTTTTTAAAAAACAATGTACTTATTTTTAATTTTATATGTATTGGTCTTTTGCCTACATGTATGTCTAATCTGTGTGAGGGTGTTGGATATCCGGGGTTGGAGTTACAGACATTTGTGAGCTGCCATGCTGGTGCTGGGAGTTGAACCAGGTCCTCTGGAAGAGCGGTCCCAGTGTTCTTAACTGCTGAGCCATGTCTCCAGCTCCCCTAACTTCTTCAGAGTTCCCTCCCTCCCTCTCTCCCTCCCTCCCTCCCTCCCTCCCTCTCTCTCTCTCTTTCTTTCTTTCTTTCTTTCTTTCTTTCTTTCTTTCTTTCTTTCTTTCTGTGTGGATAATATGTTGTGCCACTGCATTCATGTAGAGATTAGAGTCCAGCTTGTCAGGCAGTTCTCTCCTTCCACTAGATGGGAGCCACGTGGTCCTCTCAAGGGGGGTTTACCCACTGAGCCATCTTATCACCCGATCCTGACTTCTTAGTGCCCACTACAGACTTTTCTATTTTGTTTTGAGACAGAGTTTCTCCATGAAAGAGAAAGCAGTCTCTTTGGTCTCACTGCCAACTTAAGAGGTTCTGGATGCTTTTGCACCTAATTATTGCAACAACTGCCATTTTTCCAGTTTTATTGTGTGTTTCATATTCATGATCATGTTTAGTCTTCCTTTTGATTTAGTTATTATTCCAACTTTGTAGAGGAGAAAAGAGAATGCAAAGAGATTCTTTGGCTTGCCTCTGACTACCCTACAAAGGCTAAGATAATACGTGATTTAACACAGCTCCGAGAGTCCCAAACAAAGCTTAAGGATGGTATTCCTTCTGTGCTCTGCCTTTGTATGTGTGTTTGCTCAGCCTGAGAAAAGCTATCTTCTCAATTCCCTTTCCTTAAGGGGAGTCCTTGGGTCACCACCTGTCTCTGGTCTGTGTGAGCCCCCCCCCCCCCCCCCCCCCCCATCCCAAGCACTTCACATTCCTCTTTGTCACAGTCTGGTGCCTGTCCTATGCTGGGTTTGTGTTTCTGAAGAGCAGGAATTGGCTTTCTTCATTTTTTTATTTTTGCCTCTTATGTTTTGAGACAAAGGCCTTACTCTGCATCCCAGGCCAACTTCAAATAAATAAAAAATGATTTTCCTGCTTCAGCCTCCTGACTGCTAGAATTACAGGAGTGAACCACCAGGACCAACTGACCTAATTTTATTCTGGTATCTCCATGGTCTGTCCCCATTAATCCAGTTTGGCATTCCCAGGCTGTCAGACATCTAGAAGGGGAATTACAGTTTTTAAATTGTTTTCTAAAATTTGAGCTCAGGAAAAAGTTTAAGTACTTACTAATTTAAGCTTATTTTACTTAAGTTTTTTTTGTTGTTTTCAACACTCAAAATTAGTTTATGGTCATCTTTATTTTTGCAAATGAAGCAGTTTTGAGTTTCAATAGATTGGGAGAGTTATAACTATGGAGGAATAGTAGACCATGGTGAGGTGGGATGATAGGCTGAGTCTCCCTGGTTTCAAGTGTAAAATACTACGTTCTTAGTCATATTGTCTCCATTTTTTTCTCCATGGGGGAGGGGGGAAGAGAGAAGGAAATTGTGGATGGAGATTCTTTCAGTTCAGGAGGGAAGTCCTATTTTAATGTTGCTGATCATTGGGTTTGAGAGTTTAAGCCTGGTTAGTTGCAAAGCAAAAATTAAACAAGCTGGGCTAGGTAAGTAATCCTGTAAGTAATCCTAGACTTGAGATGGAGACAAAGATCAGGAGTATAAGGTTAGCCTCAGCTATATAAGAGTTTGAAGCTAGCCTGGGCTCCAGGAGATCCTGTCTTAAACAAAGAAAGAAAGAAAATGTCATTGCCTCTGGTTGGTCAATACTATCCCAGTACTTCAGACAGAAATAAAGGAATTTCTGGTAGTGAAAAATTGAAACAGTTTGCTGGGTTTTTCTTGTTTGTTTGTTTTTGTTTTTTGTTTTATTTTTTGCTTTTATGAAACAGGTTCTCACTATGTAGTCCTATCCTGGCTGTCCCGGAGCTCACTCTGTAGGTCAGGCTGGCCTGAAACTCACAGAGATCTGCCTGCCTCTGCCTCCCAAATGCTGGGATTAAAGGCTTGCACCTGGCTTTTGTTATTAGTGTTTTGCCTGGGTGTTTGTCTGTGTACCATGTGTTTCCCTGGTGTTAGTGGAAGCCAAATTCATGGGACTAGAGTTGCAGATAGTTGTTGTTGTACCACCATGTGGGTTTGGGGAATTGAATTCAGATCCTTGGACTCTTTAACCAGTAAGCCATCTCTTTAGCCCTTTAGCTATTTCTTTAATACAACAGTAATAAAAAGCACCGTTTTGTCAGGCAGTGGTAGCACATGCCTTTAATTCCAGCATTTAGGCAGAAGTGGGTGGATCTCTGTAGGTTTAGAGGCCAGCTTAGTATACAGAGTGAGTTTCAGTGCTACACAGAGAACTCTGGTCTCCAAAAACCACCACCAACAACAAAAAAGATATAATTTCATATATCTTATTTATATTTATACCTATGTATAAATATGATTGAAAAGTTATTTTAGGAAAAATGAATTTGAGAAAGCTTAGTAGTTTATTTTTTATATTTATTTTATGTGTAGGATTGTTTTGGATGCATGTATGTCTGTGTGTCATTTGTGTGACTGCTCCCCTCAGAGGTCAGAAGAGGGTATTGGAGCACTCTGGAGGCAAAGGCAGGAGGATCTCTGTTTAAGGTCAGCTTAGTCTACACAGTGAGTTCCAGGATAGGCAGGGCTATGTAGAGACCCCACCTTAAAAACAACAAATAAATAAAAAAAGAGAATATTGGATTTTCTGAAGCTGGAGTTATTGGCGATTGTGAACTGTCATGTGGATGCTGGGATTTTAACCTCTGTCTTCTACAAGAACCAAATGCTCTTAATTTTTGAGGTATCTCAACAAAGGGGAGTTTTAAGAAAGTTTATTTTTTATTCCCCCAGACAGGGTTTCTCTATAGCTTTGGAACCTATCCTGGAACTCACTCTGTAGACCAGTCTGGCCTCAAACTCATAGAGATTCCTAGTACTGGGATTAAAGGAGGAGTGAGCCACCACCACCACCACCTTGAAAGTTTTGAATTTCAACATTAGCAAAAAAGATTTACAATGTTAACAAAGCAATAAATACATTTTAATTTGCAAAGCAGCTAATTCAGTGTTGAAGGCAACACCTAGATTGTAACCATTGCTTTTGTCAGGAACAAGGAAATAGCTACAAAGCCCAGAGCAAAGACTGTAGAAATTGATTGCACTGATCATGTGTTGTCCCCCTCCCTACACGTTTTCCCTATGGCCCTCCCATTGAGTAGCTTCCCAAAGGGACTTTTCTCAAAGGGAACTTTGTGGATTTACAGGTGGGGAAAGTACATTTTATTAGTTATTATGGTATAATAGTTGAGCCAAGGCACTGAGATTTGTAGCATCTTTTTTTTTTTACTGTAAACATTTTTTTTTTGGTTTTTTTTTTTTTTTTGGTTTTTCGAGACAGGGTTTCTCTGT